CACACACACACACACACACACACACACACACACACACACACACACACACACACACACACACACACACACACACACACACACACACACACACACACACACACAGACAGCAGTCCTCCTGGAAACTTCTGAGCTTCACACTATAGTGACTGATGGATTTTGTGGCGCTAGTGCACTGCACACTATAAAAACATGTTCCTGTATTTGCTGGGTGGTAATCGCTAAATGTCTTTGGTGCAGACTTACTGTAACTCTTTGTATGATCACTGAGAATGATGTCTCACCAAGGATACGCTATGTGTTGCTATTGGAGAGCACCAGAGGACAGGGTAAAGTACATATACAGAGTGTCACAGAGTCTCAACATCAACACAGAGATATGTACTAATGTATGATCTACCACAGTGAAAAGTGCTAGTTCAGTTCTTTAATGGAGATTAGTGATATGGATATTCAATGTGTTACTGTTGCACTAATGTGTTTCAGCTAAAGGACTCACTAGGCCTACTGCTAAATGTTACTCATCAGAATCACAAATGGAGGATGTCTGAAGTATATTGAGGTGACTAGGATGAATTGAAGCACAGAAGAAATTCCTATTCAACATATGAAATGAATAATCAGCCATATTATCTCTATATGGACTCCAGTCTAATGTACTACTTCACAGGCCGTCATTTCTGGAGGGAAACTCCAACATCCACACCAAAGAGAGCAGCCTCTGCTGTGTAAGATAGATAGTTTGCCCAATCAAATAGTAGCTCTTGGTTATGGAGACCCAACATGTTACAAATAATCTAAATAAGACATTATGCAATCATATTGATAAATACAGATAAAATATATAACTCAACCATAAAAACGTGAAGTAATCCAGTACATTTTAAAAACACAGCTCGCTATGTTTTTTGTCATGCTTATTTTCATCAGAGTTTATTACGGGCCAGTTTTATTTATTTATTTTATTTCTTTCCAGCATTGTGTCCTTTTTCCAAAATGTGTATTTATTGTGTGTATTTATGTCATTTTTCTCAGTTTTATCACCACTTTTTCTGTCAGCTCATTGAGATCAAAGCCAATCACATACTGCACCTGGCTCTGACCCGTTTGTCTTAAAACGTTTTTATTTATAAAAAGGAATTATAAAATAGGATCACAATAAATAACTAAAAAGTAATAAAACTGACTTGCCACAAACGAAAATAAGCAGCACAAAATAACACGTCGTAACCGTACGAAGAGTAAAAAAAAAAAAGGTCATAGTTATGTTACCTATTTTGTCTGTAGTTATCTATATAAATGTTGTTTTCAGAATGTCTTATTTATCTAATACATGTATTAACACTTTGTGTCTACATTACTAATAACAAAATCTAACAGGCATACATTTCCAGACAGCGTTTTCAGGCTTTAGCGTCTTTCTTAATAATGAGCACTTGAAATCACTCCCGTAATGAAAACCAGGGAACAAATTTAAGATTTGTGAAGCAAGTCTGGCATAATCTCAATTGTGCTGAATAAAACAAAGTATGAGGACACTTTTCAAAGTAACCCCTGAAATACTGTGTATTCAACAGTATTCTGCTTCTATGTGCCTGTTTATGATTTTGTCCCCGTTAGTCGTCAGTCTATAACCGAGGGATGCTTTGATGTGGGTTTCTGTCCAATCGCTAAAAACTCTTAAATCGGGTGAACACAGAAAAGTGCATTGTGAGTAAGATTTATGGAGCACCTGATCTCAGGAGTGTGCAGGTGCCTTTTGTTGTGTTGTGCCACAACTCCAACACCGACTCACATCCACACATTATCTCACTGCTGTTTCAGTATAGTGTCAAAGACTCAGGGGGGCGCCCCTTCTTTTTCCCCATAGTAAAAACAGAGTGTACATTTGGAGGTAATCCGAGAGTGTGTGAAACATACACATTCTCATGCCCACTACAGGTCCACATGGTGCTACGCCCCATTGCTGAAGGAGCAGAGGCAGAGCAGTTCCCTTGTCCGATGAGGTTAGGTGTGATCCGGAGTGCGTTCCTGGGTTAGAAGATGTTAGGACACATGCTCCAGTCCTGCCTCTCCTTTGCCTCCCAGTAACCTCCCTTGTACACAAAGTTTGTTTCTCCAGTGACTGAGTCCCTCCTCTGGTGGAACCACAACGGCTGGTAGCCTTCATATTCTTTCCCTGCAGGAAGAAGCACAGGTGTTACTCAATTCCTGTCATCTATAATTGCACTCTAGTGGAGAAGCCACACTTGCAGGCAATTCACTTAGCGACCAATTTGCCTGCACACATACAGTATGCAGGGGAAGCAATCAATCGCTGTGCCCTGCATTATGGGATAGCTCCAAAGGTGAACCAAACGGTGAATTCAAAGGTGTCAGTAAAATACAAATGGATCAACCATAGAGAACTAGTTTAACTAGTTCTCCCTAAACTGAATAATCCATCAGTTTCCTAATACAGAAGCCCGGTCAGAAGATGGAGAAATTGCAGCTCAGCAAACAGCTCATGTTGTTGTTCCCTTAATAAAAACATAATGTAGATTTAACTCAGATGAGCAAAATATAAAGTAACTTGTTTCCTGTTGGTCAGTGCACCAGAAAAGTTCCCACGAGCATTCCAATAGACAGGATGATGATGCAGTGTAAATAAATCACTTGCTAATGTGGCTTCACCATAGCACATTAAGAGTACTTGTATCTGTTATGTCATGTGACATATTATCTTTCTAAATGAAAATGCCACATGTATGCAGGAAAAAGTCATTTTTCCAGAGAAGTTGACATGAGAGGGGTATCATGCAGTTCCACACAGAGGCAGACCATACAGAGGACACACGGAGGATGGTGTGTGTGTCTGTGTGTGTGTGTGGGAGTGATGCACAACAGAGGGGCACAGGGCATCCTCCACTCACCAGAGTCATAATCACACTCTGACCACCAATAGAGGGAGGAAAAGAAAGACAAGTCATGGGTACATCAAATACAATCTAACCTATGCACAACACACACACACACACACACACACACACACACACACACACACACACA